CTCCTAAATCACTCGTACGCACAACTTAAGAACAAATCTGTGCGTACGAACGGTTCTTGCATGAGGCCCAATGTCTCTTCTCTGCTGAACTGCATTCATCTTTCACATCTTTTCATTTTATTTTTTTTTATTTTCCTGTATATTGTTTGGCAATTGTCAAATAACTGAGCCTCGATCAGAAAGGAGGTGGTGGTGTGTGTGCGTGTGTGTGTGTGTGGGCGGGGGGGGGGCATGCTTTTCCAACTCCAGATAAAGATGAGATTGACATCAGATTGAGCTTTTATTTTTTTTCCATGAGACTACCGTGATTATCTCTGTCTTCTGCTGCAACACGCATCAAATAGGATGGTCGTGTTCAGAAAAATATGTATATAATTTATCGTAACGCAGGTTTTATTTGGCCTGTAAACACAATTTGAAAACTGGAGCTTGAAGTCTCTACTTTTGACACAAATTGAAAGAGTGTCAGAAAAGACAGATGTCATTTAATAGGTCATGTGGCTGGGCTTCAGAAGATTTATATATTTTAGGTATACCACAGTACTGTCATACTAACATAGCCTAGTTTGGAGACCTTAAGTGTAATTCTAATTGAGCTTGGCAAGTTAACAATCAGCCTGAGTGGGGGCAGGACCAAAATGGATTGCTTCTGTTTTAACATAACTCACTCATAATTTCACAGCTGTTTATGCAAATACTATTAAAACTAAGCACCAACAACAACAAACCTTTTGCACCAACAGTTTTTTTTTACATAATTTTATGGCTACTTATAAGTTAAAAACGCAGCTAGTTTTAGAACTTCAAGTACAGCTTGGGACACTTTCCTCTAAAATACAATAATATCTCTTGCAATATGAAAGAAGATTATTGCCTTTGTTAAATAAAAGTCTATGACTTAATGTAAGGCAAACTTTGTCAAAAACATGATTTAAAAGACAACAGGTGATATGATTTTTAAGGAATGCTAGGCCTCCAATTTTTATGTACAAACTACAAAGACATAGCTTAAAAAATGTTCCCTAATCATGGGGGTATCTACTTGCATGAATTTTTAATAAGCTTACTCCTAAATTCTTTCCAAAACATGCATTATCTTGTGCTGTAGTATTAAACATTTTCACCATGTTGCCAGATGTTTTGACTTATGTTCATATTCATTTCTCAAGTGCATACAAACAATGGATTGCTTTGTAAATCTAGCTGTTACTTTAGCTTTTATTTTGTTAATAGCACAGATTTTTGGGTCCAGATGGACCTTTGATGGGACACCAAGGTAAATGAATGTTTCTGTTGAATGGTCCCCAGCTTCAGGAGTGGAGAGGTTCACTTTCCAAACTCAGTCAAGTGTCTTAACTTATCAAAATGATAAATGCTCCCTCTTGAAGTGAGCTCCATTTTCGTATTACCCCAGAAATATTTGGCAGAGCTGGAAAAATTAACCTCCCCCCTTGTTAGATTATTTTCCTTTTCCTATTGTTTCTTTGTCTTTGTGTTTAATCCAGGGCTTTGGAGAGCCGTCGGGGGAGCACTGGCTGGGGAATGATATCATCTACAAGCTGACCAGCTCCCAGGAATACAGCCTGCACATCCAGCTCAAAGACCGGGAGGGGAATGAAGCCTTCTCACTTTACGATCGCTTCTACATAGACGGCGAGGATAACAACTACAGGTAATGTGAGAAATGACTTTATCTTAAAAGTAAAACTTTTATTAAAGCTCGGAGTGATGTTATCTTTAGATGTGACTTTTCTATCCGGACTATGAAACCACTTATCAAAGCTATAAAAGATGAGAAGACAGCAGTGAGTTATGGTGGTATGCAGTGGTGAGCACAGCTAACCAAAGATATAAGCTTCACTAACACCTAAACCACTATACATTTTTTAGTTCCACTAACAATAGAAGCAAATGTGCAAAAAAAAAGGGCAAAAGCTAAAGCCGAGCCACTAATACTCCACATATTGATGTTTAGTCCACCATGTGGCAACCTGTACGACATGCTGCTGCACTTGGGTATTGTGTTTGAAAAGACCCACCCCATGTGCCCAGTTACCCGCTTGATTCTTCTGCTTTAGACCTCATGGTAACAGTTTCAGTAACTAAACTTCAACACAGATATCAAACCATCATGTCATCACAACAATGCTTTGAGGGAGGGGTGCTCTGTGGGGTGGGATCTCTCCTGAGCTTCAGGGAATTGATTTGTGTACAAAGGCGGTGCTTTGTTTTTTTGTTTTTTTTGTTTGTTTGTTTGTTTGTTTTGTTCTTGATGGCCTCCCTTCTCCCCCTATAGCCATCCTCTCCACACCATTATTGTGTTTTTTTAATA